TCGCGGGACACTCTCCAGTATAGCTCAATGGATCGCTGAGGTGCGCAAACCGTCACACCACGGTAAGGTCCAGTCTCTTCGTGACGGAGCAATCAACTAATCAACTATGCTTCTCTAATAAAGTCAGAGCAAGACGGTGTAGTTATGCTATCATGCAAGGAGTTCACGCTCTTCGGTGTTTTATGCAGTGCTGTAAACTGAGCAAATCACTGCGTGACGAAAGTGCACGACCGTGCTTAATATGTGCCATGGCGGTCATTCTACCGCTGTGTGGTTGTGCTGTGTGTATTCACGAGAATTTATAAATTTTGTTGGTATACGGGCTGGTAGAATTGGCAACCCAAGCCTTCGTTCACTTGATAGACGAATGCAACTTGTCCTTCAATGAGAAGCAAGATCCACATGGAACATCGACTCAAACTCCACGACTGCGTTGTTCACGGCGTTAGACATCTGACATTCAAATCAACGTTTTCCAACAATAAGAGCCGTTCGGCAACGGCAACAGGCCTGCATAAATCCGTTTGTGTAACTAACATTTTCATAACTCTCCCTCTTCAAACTTTCGCACGTTTGTTACCGGATCGTGGATACCTTTTGGTAGCTCAAAACCGGTTGTGTATCACCAAGTGTGCAATCAATCCAGCGATCTACTGTTGAGCCGTCCTGAGAATCTGGAAATGGCTTAGCTGTTGCATAGTTCCGATACACGACCAAACGAATTAAAGAAGTTCCGATACACGACCAAACGCCAGAATTAAAGACTCACTGAGTTATCCGGGCTGGCGCGATTAACGAAGTCCATAGATCAGAAGATTGTTCGTTATCCCGTAAATGTGAGCACACTGTATAGCCAAGCCACAGGCTCGCTCGAGACAAAGTCTGGAGACTGCTATCCGCATCTTTACTCATTGACCGGCCTGGAATGAGATTCCGTGATTGTCACACAGCCCTCAGTTTAGTCCTGGGGGTAACGGAGGTCCAATCTCCTAATAAGGTTATTAGAGTGTTACTCTGACATACTTATCTGTTGATAACAGACTGCAGAATGAACGCGCTTACAAAATCAGTTCTATAGCATCGTCACCCAGACACACCAACTGGCTTCAAAGTTTAGCAGAAGCTGCCAACCTCTTCGGCCCGTGTCGATATAAAGAGATAGGTTGTGAAGCCCTTTGGATGGCACTGTTCAGCGCACGGCGACCCGCCCTTCACATTCTGCATTTTGATACACTATGTTCCTACCTCAGGATGCAGTTCCATTATCCTCGTGTAGTACACCGGAATCATCAATTTCATTCAGACTCTATCAGGAGCGACGCACAATAAAAAATAATATGAATTATTCTCTCAACTGAGTCCGTAATTTCACATTGTTGCTCGACTGTTTGCTTTTTTGTGTCCTATGTTCACCTCCTCTTGTCACGTTCAGTTGTGTCACGACTTCGTCAATCGGATTCAAATAAGTATACGCAGCAGTTCTTAATCAACTGGAAAATGTTTGGGACCGATTNCCGTCACACCACGGTAAGGTCCAGTCTCTTCCTGACGGAGCAATCAACTAATCAACTGTGCTTCTCTAATAAAGGTCAGAGCAAGACGATGTAGTTATGCTATCATGCAAAAGTTCACGCTCTTCGGTGTTTTATGCAGTACTGTAAACTGAGCAAATCACTACGTGACGAAAGTGCACGACCGTGCTTAATATGTGCCATGGCGGTCATTCTACCGCTGTGTGGTTGTGCTGTGTGTATTCACGAGAATTTATAAATTTTGTTGGTATACGGGCATTATGCTGGTAGAATTGGCAACCCAAGCCTTCGTTCACTTGATAGACGAATGCAACTTGTCCTTCAATGAGAAGCAAGATCTACATGGAACATCGACTCAAACTCCACGACTGCGTTGTTCACGGCGTTAGACATCTGACATTCAAATCAACGTTTTCCAACAATAAGAGCCGTTCGGCAACGGCAACAGGCCTGCATAAATCCGTTTGTGTAACTAACATTTTCATAACTCTCCCTCTTCAAACTTTCGCACGTTTGTTACCGGATCGTGGATACCTTTTGGTAGCTCAAAACCGGTTGTGTATCACCAAGTGTGCAAACAATCCAGCAATCTACTGTTGAGCCGTCCTGAGAATCTGGAAATGGCTTAGCTGTTGCATAGTTCCGATACACGAACCAAACGCCGAATTGAAGATTCGCTGATTGGCTGGCGCGATTAACCAAGAGTCCATAGATCAGGAGATTGTTCGTTATCCCGTAAATGTGAGCGCACTGTATAGCCAAGCCATAGGCTCGCTCGAGAAAAAGTTTGGAGGCTGCTATCCGCACCTTTACTCATTGACCGGCCTGGTATGAGATTCCGTGATTGTCACACAGCCTTCAGTTTAGTCCTGGGGGTAACGGAGGTCCAATCTCCTAATAAGGTTATTAGAGTGTTACTCTGGCATACTTATCTGTTGATAACAGAGTGGCGAATGAACGCGCTTACAAAATCAGTTCTATAGCATCGTCATCCAGACACACCAACTGGCTTCAAAGTTTAGCAGAAGCTGCCAACCTCTTCGGCCCGTATCGATATAAAGAGATAGGTTGTGAAGCCGTGTGGATGCGACCCGCCCTTCACATTCTGCATTTTGATACACTATGTTCCTACCTCAGGATGCAGTTCCATTATCCTCGTGTAGTACACCGGAATCATCAATTTCATTCAGACTCTATCAGGAGCGACGCACAATAAAAAATAATATGAATTATTCTCTCAACTGAGTCCGTAATTTCACATTGTTGCTCGACTGTTTGCTTTTTTGTGTCCTATGTTCACCTCCTCTTGTCACGTTCAGTTGTGTCACGACTTCGTCAATCGGATTCAAATAAGTATACGCAGCAGTTCTTAATCAACTGGAAAATGTTTGGGACCGATTGAGTAATTATTTAGGAAAACTTCGGGGGTAGAGTCAAATGAACAAAGAGAACTTCAGAAAAACAGTCGCTAAATCGCACATCTAATGCCCATTTGATAGGTCGGACACAAGGGCGATAGAGTCATCGGATAGGGTATCTCGGGACGAAATGGAGCTTTAAATAGTTCATGATCAGTGTGCGCGGATAGGTGACAACTCTGGCAGTATAGGTGGAACAGCGATAGACTGTTGGACTTTACCCCAGGACACTCGTTCAATATGATATCAAAGGCACATAAACAAAAACGCAATCCTCAAGGATGATGTGATGACAAAAGCGAGCGTTGAATATGGGAATAAGGACGTACAATGCATAGTTTTCAATAAAACGTGCAGCGTGATTCCGAAAATGCAGATGACAAAGCCCAGCATATTGATTGGGGAAATTTGATCACCGTTGAAGGTTGCGGCCAAATACAGGGTACAAACTTCCTGAAATGTGACGGAAAGACAACATATATTGATGGACATCTGAGCGTTGCAAGAACTGAGGGGGAGAACTCTGGTGAGAATGACAAGGATAACAAACCAAGCGGAAATGTGGATTTATGCACGCTCTGGAAGTCGGTTGCAGCAAAACCCACTACGATAAACTCATTCAGCATGAGTAAAGCTTGGTTACCAAGAGGGAGCTTATGAAAGAAGTGCAAATTACCCCTTATAAGTCACGGCAACTATAGTCAGTGCCGTGAACTCAACTCTGTAAAACGTAAGGGGAAATGCGAATCACTACAGTAGTCTTCCTAGAAAACGAGTGAAGGCGGTCCTACGAGGAGCTACGGGTTCACGAATTTTTTGGAAGCAGTATAGTAACAGCTTAATCTTGTTGCCTCAACCCTGGAGCATTTTGTCCTGGTAAGACCATGAAGCATCTTGTAACTACGGAAGTTCGCTCTTCTAACAAGAAATCAGTCACGAAAATTCGGAAATTTGTGTTTCCTAGCGACGTTCTATTGAAAAAAATCGTTCAGTCGTAGCACCCTTCCGGTGGCTAACTGCCATGCTACCCGAAGGTTGCACGAGGGCTGGGATACTGCCAGGTTGCCCAAGCCTAGACAGGGGAAGTCGAGAGGCAGAGGTCGGGTTCGAACCAGGGACCTTCCGGTCAGTAAATTCGCGCTCTAACCAATTGGGCCATCTCGCCCCCGACGTTCTATTGAACCATACAGGTACCTGGAATTAGACCAGAGTTACAACAGCACGGGGCATTATACCATTAACCACCGCCAGAGTTCACGTCAAACTAAACCGCCGAGGTGCGGAGTTCCATCGATCCATCGTCGCCATGGTACCCAAACTACCACGTTACTCAGCAAAGCCTAGAGGTAGTCGAGAAGGGACAGATTACAACCATAAGCATTGGAAACCGACAGCTCACTCATTCGATCCTCTCACCACAGTCGCCCACACTTACTGGCGCTCAGTGAACACAACGCTCCGTCAGTGGACGCCAAATGGCGGTGGCGTTGGAGATGCCGTCTAATGACCATCGGAGTATAGATCAGGATAAGTCAAACCAGAATGAGTCATGCGTGTGTGACCTGAGATTGGTCTTTTAGTAATACATGCCCCCGGTCTACCCGAAATGGCCACCAACATACCGACCAGAATGAACCAAGCCATAGCCTATTGTGTAACATCAAAGGAGTTGACATGAATTTGGCTTATTAACAATGAAGTCCAACAGTCCACCTGGAGCAAGTTTAATTTTGTAGTTGATTTACTTTGGGTCTGTAATTGGCGCGACTGGACGTTTCGGAAACTCCTGGGTGTTAAGCTCAAAAATTGATGTTAAAGGTGACTTGCTGTGACCACCACTGTACAGACCAGACCGACTGACTGATACTATGTGTTACGAGCACACAATGGGAGTACCGGCTTTCCAATTGACTCAGTATGACCGGGTAATCACGGACAATCAACTAAGGATGGTGATGGTTTGGTCTTCTTCTTCGCGTTTGCGCTGAGCTACACAGCAATTCAACGCAAGTGGAACTACCTTTCCAGCGCGGTAATTCATCCATATTATGGGTGTTACAATCAAACGTGGGAATGTGTTCCACGATCTGGAGTGCCACTCCTTTAGCCTCAGCAGCGCTAAGTTTTTCGACCCGCGCATTCATATCTTTGATAATCCCAACAATATCTGAGCTCTTAGGCCGCTTCAACAAGCAGCTCAAAACGTGATAAAAGGTGTCTTTGAGTATATCGCGGTAACCGTCTGCTGGGGCGTAAGTACAAACGACTAACAGGCAGCGGTTGTAGGCACATTTACGGGAAGCTCTCACAGACGTCAAGCGAACAACATAGAGGCGACTATCAACGGTCAACCATTCAACCAGAGATCCTCCTGCTCGGTGGCTAAGGAAAATAGTAACCCCAGTAGAACCGGTTCGAGCAGCCTCTGAAATCCGAGTGCACAACCGAATGTGACAGGAAACCGATAAGGAGATCAGCTCAACAACTGTTTTGAATCATTGTTTCGGAGACAGCACATATAAATAGAAGGCGAGTCCAGTGTGCATGCAAGAGCAGCCTGTTGTCCAACTTGTTTCAGAGTGCTGCAAGATGAACTAAGCGTTGGGGTATGAAGATGACATCGAAGTGACTCTGGTGGTGGCTTCAGATACTGTGGCTAACGAAAATGGAAGCGAACTGGCCTGCTATTCCCTAAGAATGGAGGCAGAAGTAAGGACATGTGAAATAAAAAGAGGGGAGGCATCAGTGGTGGTCTGTTTTCGCCCACCAACCTGCTGTATGTAGCGAGTAAGGCGAGTCGGCTGATGGCACCGCGCAACGGCCGATGTGTCAGTATTGTTAGTTGTGGGAATGGTGGTTGTACACGAACTACGGCACTGTCAGGGCCCCCAAACCTACAAAAGGAGACGATTCGGTTCTCAACCAACGCTTGGTTCAAAAGCCTGACCGGAAGGCATGCTGCTACAATAGTACAAGTTTTTTTTAAGGAACAAGTCACCGTGCCGGGTCAAGTCTCAAACCTGGAGGACTGGGAGACTGCGTTCATCAAACCTGCACCCAGTGACTAATCTGGTTTGACTGCACGCGGCAAAGTGAAACCCTTCCCGTATATCTAAGTGGGCCACACCGCAATGAGGTACAGTATATTTGCAACGGACAATTGAGTCGTTCAGCTCTACCACCCATTCGGTGCCCTATTGCAATGCCACCAGAAGAAAAGCACGAGGGCTGGAATACTGTGAGGTTGTCCAAGCCTAGACAGGGGAATTTGAGATGCAGAGGCCGAGTTCGAACCACGGACTTTTGGTCAGTAAATTCGCGCTCTAACCACTGAACCATCTTGCCATATGAGGAGATTATGAGAAGCTTACATTCTAATGCAATGAACTCAAACGTGAGAAATTCAATTTAGAAACTCAGGATGTCGATACAGACCTGAAAACATACAGCACATTAACCGAAGAATCAGTGCGTACCCTATGTAGCGGAATGGCGTAACTGGTTGCACCGCATTTTTGTTCTAGACATCTATCAAGCGGATGATAGATGCGCACAGACAACATACCAGAAGCCATCGAATGTTCTCAGCTAACGTAGTTCATACAAGAAATATCGGGCTTGGTTTAAAGAATTTTAACAGAGCAAGGTGAATTCGTCGCCATTTCACACCAATTTGGATGTCAGGAGATAGAAAACTGGGTTTCCGTTGTCGTGTAGACCAAGGAACAGCGTGCATCGTTGTTACGTGACGGCCAGAACACTGATAACCCGTCTTAGGGAAGGAGTTGGAGTAGGCTGGTGCGGTTGGAAGACGGATGTTCGGTTGCGCAAAAAAATCGTTCAGCTGCAACAACCTTCCGGTGCCTGGCTGCGATGCAACCCAAAGGAAGCACGAAGGTTGGGATACTGCCAGGTTGCTCACGCCTAGACAGGGGAAGTCGAGAGGCAGAGGTCAGGTTCGAACCACGGATCTTCCAGTCAGTAAATTTGCGCTCTAACCACTTGAGCAACAAGGACTCGAGTTGCAGAAAGTATCGAGCAACGGGGACTGTTGAGGCTGGGCAATGCAACGCACGCACTGATCGTCATCCTCATTGACACAGGTCTCACTGCTTCTCCTCGTACCAGAGGTAGCCAATAACTACGTCGCAGTCGTTTTTCGTCTAAAGTACCCCCCGTACTGTTGTCGAAGTCGAGCTATCTGCTGAAGATTCGCGTTTGCACTTAGAACTCGGTGTGACGACCTTTGAAAAGGTCACCCAGGTCACCGGACAATTCTACCGTGCGATATCAGTTGAGGCAGAATATTTAACCAAAGCAATGAGTAAAAACCACTAACCTTGAGAATACCGGCAATGGACAAGGTTAAACTGGACGCTGTGCTGACGACCAGGTACTCAGAGCACTCCAAGCCAAACGCCAGTAAGCCGCCAAGACTTATGTACAGTAGATCCAAAAGCAGTTGACTGTACTCAGTGGTCCGAAAAAGGTCTTTCGAACTGACCAATTGGGAACCTGAACATTTAAACAGGCAAATGGAGTGAACTAAGCTTTGACTACATGGTGACAGTACGCTTCCATACATATAAATAGATTTACTACCCTGAAAATCAAATGAACAGTTGATTGATTCTTTGATAGTACTCTGTTTTTCAGTTGCTTTCGAATTCTCAATTAAAATTTCATCTTGTGATCTATGTTAAGAACCGAGAGGAACTGTGTTTGAACCGTGTTCGAAATCATCAGAAGTGCTCATCTCACGAGTCTCTAAGGGGACTCGAATCTGCGACCTGCCGGCTGGTGGTTGAAGACAGGACAGGTCGGTAACGAGTGGCTAGTCTGGTCTCTAACTACAGAATGGGAATTCGAAAGTTGGAATTTCGCTGCAGATTTGTGGGATGTCTACAGCTGACGATTCACAACAAAAAAGAGAGTCCATAGGCACACGGCGTCACACATCATCTAAACTCTCAAGTTATTTCACATCGTGCATCGCATCTTGTATAGCGCCAGCGGTCGTTGCTTCTCCACAAAAACTATCCAAAATCACACGAAAATAGTACTCATGAGTAGAAGATAGACAACCGAGAGCTTCATAAGTTGTGGGTTAGCGTTTTGCGACCGTTCTCCCAGCGTTGCCGATATAGTGAACCTTTCGACACCTTTTATGGCATTTGGGGATAGATGCGAATTAATTTCAATAGAGTAATTGAAATATCTACGTTCCTCGATTCATTCCACTACAGATTTCTCCACACACATTGAATCAAATGATATTTAAGTGACAATGAAAGTGAATGATATACTTGCGAGGATAACTGCGCCACCCGTGCGCACGAGAATGAGGCTGATGAAAATTCGGGACTACGCCTACCCGGTAAGCACTGTATTGTTGAAGTATTTCCATCGTTGCGACGAAACACTCCTATGCAAATCAATTATGTTTTCCGGGAGACTCAAGTGAATCTCTCGTTTATGGTGTTCTTCAGCTGAATGTGCTGCACACAGGCCGCCTCATGATTCAGTTGGGACGATATTCGAAATATCGCAGTATATTTTCATAAAGGGAACTACTTACAAGGTTGCTGAAAACTCTTCGACAGTCCGAGACTGATCTCGTCCTTTTCGGGGCTCATCAGGTAGGCGCAGTCCCCGAGTTTCCGTCAACTTTGGGTCCTACTTGAACCCGAATAGGACTCACTGAGACAAACAGACTCAGTTGCAAATCTATTTACTTTCCACAAACGAGAGATTCACTTGAGTTTCCCGTGAAAAAACAAATTGAGTTGCAAGAGTGTATTTGTCGCAATTAGTCCAATTTAGGTTCAAGTAGAATATAAGGTTGACGGGACTGCGCCTACCTGATGCGCCGCAAGAAGGGCTAAACCGGTCATGGGCTGTCGAAGAGTTTTCAGTAACCTTGTGAGTAGCTTCCTTTGTTTCCATCGTTCTTATGGGGCGCACCAGATGAGGAGAAAATACTTCAGCATCTTGAATAACGACCCAGTTGGGACGACAGACGTCCTTTTATCAGTACGTTCAAAGCAACTTAGTAGTGTTGAATGTTGACATCATTTTACTTTGAAAATGAGATGTTGATGGCGTACTTCTGATTTGGCGCTCAGGCAGAAGATAACAGTGGTGCGAGTTTGGGTGTGACGCTCATTTGATAACCCCTAGAAACGGCGAAACCGGTAATGGGTTGCCCAAGTTTTCAGTAACGTTGCGAGTAGTACCACAATGGGTGTGCATATATTCAGATGCTTGTTTGATATCTCGAAGATCACAATGCTGGATTACTTTCTTTGCTAATCTCAAACCGACTACGCTGATACAAACACCCACTTGCTAGTTAATTTGGTTCAAAAAAGACTCAGCTGAATCCCAGTGGGAACTTTCGTTGATGATATTATTCATCTGAATGCGTTGCACAAAGGCCACCTCGTGTTTCAGTTTGTACGATATTCTAAGAGCATGATAAATGAGAAATTCAGCTGGGATTCGGTCAAGTTTTCCGTTGACAACAAATTAGTGTGAAAATGAGTGTCTTTCGCTAGTTTCACTTGGATTTCAAGCAGAACATAAGGTTGACAGGAAGTCGGGACTACGTCTATTGATATGCCATAGGACGAAACCGGACATAGACTGTCGAGTTTTCAGCCAACGCATGAGTGGTGTCCCGACAAGAAACGGAACCAGCAAAAAAAATAAGTTTTGCTGTCCTGGTGGGTACACGTCGAAACACTTGGGAGATAACAGAGGGAGTTCGAGTACTCTGATTAACTCTTGTTAAACGTGCAATACCTTCAGGAAGTTGTATGAATACCATATTCTAAAGCTGCTGAGGTTCCGGATTTATAGTCCAATTGGTGAAAACTGGTCCTTCCACGAAGGTAAAATGGTGTTAAATGGTTTATATAGCAAATGAACCCGCGACTATCCGGCTAGTTGTTTAAAGCCTTAACGAGTAGCTAACCAAGTGTGATTAACTTGTACTTTGAACCACTTACAGAACGAAATCTGGACTGAAATTTCCAAATCTCCCCACGCTACCAGCAATCTATAGGTAGCTCAGAAGGAAGAATGACTCACACGACGAGTGGAACATTCATCTGAGAAGTCGTCACTCGAGGAATCAATCAGCACGCTAGCACTTGATGCGAATTCTGTGAATGACGGACGAGTGATGCTGTATCCAGTCTAAGTACGAGTTAGCCACATTGCCAATCAGTCACTCGTGACCGAACGTGCTCAGACTACTAGCTGGGAGGCCGCGGATTCGGAACTACCTGGAGTTTCGTGAGACGCGCACTTCTGGCCAGCCACACAGTGCTTCTAAGCTTTTCAGCATACGATGAATATTCAGATGAGCCTGAATAGTGGAAATCGCCTCTAGGATGTATTACTTTCCTACAAGAAAGTTACTCCCCATTCGTCGCGAGTGAGAACCACTGGCTTGAATCCATCTACATGCCACGTACATAATGGAGTTCACGAACTGGCAAAGCAACTTACCCTCGATGCATAAAGATAAGGGGAGAATTGCAAGCGCCATCCACGGCTGGGTGTGATAGATGAAGTTTATGGGATGGGAAAGACCTGGAGTGGAGGAGAGGACAACAAAGCCCGTTAATAGTGAAACACTACCCCACGCTAAAAAGCTCGGGGATTTCGTCTTATCCGTATGGTCTCTGATGGAGCGTTTATCTGGTCAAAAAACTGTGGGAAGAGTATTTCAGTCTCTTCTTAGATGTCCTTATCTATATTAGTGTTGTACCCGGCCCTGAGACTGTTTTTGCTTCAATGGATAAGTTTTTTCTTAAAAAAAACGACCGGCGCATCAGATGTTTGCTGACCAGCAAGCATAGAATGCATACATTCGGGGTGTTGGTCTACTTCTCCCCGTCCAACGAACTCTATAATTTACCGCCGGGTAAAGAAAAAGGTTTGCCTCAGATAGAGCTCGGAATAGATCCTAAAGGGAAAGGTGGTTGGTTCCAGGCTGACTGCAGAGTGACTCCAATCCGACGAAATAAACAAAAATAAATCGTTCAGAAGTAACACCTAATCGGTGCTTAGCTGCCATTCCACCCGAAGCACTATGACTGGGATATTGCCGGAGCGCCCAAGCCTAGACGTGGGAAGTCCAGATGCACGGGTCTGGTTCCACCCACGAACCTTCCGGTCAGTAAATTCGCACCATCTCGCCCCCTGCTAGAATAGTCGTCTTTTAAGACCAAACAAGTCCTATGACTTGACTCCGCTGCGAGACACTACCGAATTTGGTAGTGAAGGAAAAAAACTGCTATGGTTCAAAAAGGCTCACAGAGAAAATGTGGTAACCTAGTTGATCTGGATGGAGTACCTGGTTTTAGGTGACCGGTATCGTCCACGAAAAGGATCCAACAAGCCTAGTATCTTTTAACTTCATGAAGAAGCACACTGCCTAGCATCTACAACCACACATGGGTCAACGTCATACGCAGTGTTCGCTGACCATCAATCGTTCAGAAGTAACACCTAATCGGTGCTTAGCTGCCATTCCACCCGAAGCACTATGACTGGGATATTGCCGGAGCGCCCAAGCCTAGACGTGGGAAGTCCAGCCAGATGCACCTGGTTCCACCCACGAACCTTCCGGTCAGTAAATTCGCACCATCTCGCCCCCTGCTAGAATAGTCGTCTTTTAAGACCAAACAAGTCCTATGACTTGACTCCGCTGCGAGACACTACCGAATTTGGTAGTGAAGGAAAAAAACTGCTATGGTTCAAAAAGGCTCCCAGAGAAAATGTGGTAACCTAGTTGATCTGGATGGAGTACCTGGTTTTAGGTGACCGGTATCGTCCACGAAAAGGATCCAACAAGCCTAGTATCTTTTAACTTCATGAAGAAGCACACTGCCTAGCATCTACAACCACACATGGGTCAACGTCATACGCAGTGTTCGCTGACCATCGGCACTTAAACTCTTCTTCATTACAAGTCACTGCGGACAAATGTCAGACAATAACCAAACCTATACGCACATCAACAGATCAACAAGACACTGGGAAGTTCGCTTGCAGGCTCTTCGGGAATCATCCAGGGCTGTCTAAGGCCCATTTCGGACCATATGACTTCCATCATGAGATAGCAACATCAGTGTTGTAATGATGCTTCGTTGGAGTACAGCCACGAAATTGAGCTCACCATATTTAATGAAAAGAGTGGGCCGTTGACGATCTACTGCGGCGGCATTGAGAAGCAAATATGCGGAAGGGAGGTAAAAAAGAAGGAAGGAATGGATTATGTACGTCGGATATTAGTATGGGGATTTCGCTGGTCAACTTCCTGATTGATTCAATCAATCCTTTCTATTATTAGAGCGCAGATGTGCTGAAAAAATCATTCATTTTTGCGCCAAGCTGTTAACGTCACCAGATATGGATGACTTTCAATTGAGCTTCTGTTTACATCACCATCATCATCATCACTGTCAGCTGTAATAACCGCGTACTCGTCGTACAGTGGTTGTAGCTGCCGCAGTTTCGTTCACCGGTGATTTCGGGGGAGGGGGAGGTAGCTGCGCATTGCAGACGGGAGCTGACAAATTGGTGCATAAATCCAGCACTGTCAATGGGCTGTCGAGTGGGTGGGTTGGGGGTTGGAAAAGGAGCTATGCATTGAAGGCAATAGCTTGGATGCATGAGCGCCATTGAGGGCGCAACTGGGCCATGTCTGACAATGTCACTAGCCATTGATGTGGTTCGTCTCGGGGTCCCCATCCAGGAAGACGGCAGTGA